GATTGAAGCACTGGAAATACTTTATATAATCTATATATAATACTTGAAGCTCGTATACACTTTATATGTTTTGTATTTAACATTCGGGGTACTCGAGATACTTTTTTAATTCTGTGAATGTTTTTTTTTTCTACTGTATCATTCAGAACATCTAACAATGTATTATGTTTTATTTTATAATGCTATTATCATTCATGATTGAAAGTGGAAGGAATTTGGCATTAACCTCATTTTGATGGGTTTACACTTATTATTTGTATTTATAAAGCACCAACTAGTTCCGCAGCGCTGCACAGTGCACAATTTATACTTGTAAAAAATAAAATACATGTTTTTTCTACGAGTACTTTATTGTAATAAACACCTTATTGTGTATTGAGTATTACACTCATGGCATTTTACTTATAGCATATTAAGCACATTTTAAATCAATGGCACATTTTGCACGTTATTCCCCCGTAGAGATGATTTTTTCCATTGATTAGTTTAAATATATATGGTTCTCTATCTATGCAAAGAACACACCTTTTTTATATACAAATATACATGGGATTGCATGATTGGATTATATGTGTTTTTATCTGCAAAAACATTGATTATTGGGTATATAAGTATAAGGGATTGTATAATAGTAATACTAATTTGAGGCTTCTAGGGGGAGCTGGATGGAGGTAAATAAGTATCATGTAAAGGTAGATGTAAAATGACAAGTTTTCGGGAGAACCTCCCTTTCTTAAGTCTAAAGCATTTCTGAGCAGAGACGAGACATAGAATTAGGGATTATTCTAGCCTCGGTGGGGGAATAATCTAAATTTTATTAACCCCTTAAGGACTGAGCCAAATGTACACGTTGTGAACAAAACAAAACGTAAACAAAACCTGGCATTTGCGCTACATGTCTATCCAACCGTAATTCACCTCTTTCATATTAAATGCACCCACCCTTATTATATATCATTTTATTCAGGGGAAACAGGGCTTTCATTTAATATCAAATATTTAGCTATGAAACATAATTTAATATGAAAAAAATGGGAGAAAATAAGAAATTTTGTTATTTTTTTTAGTTCTACATGACATTTTAACTGTCAATGTCATAATACTGTTTGCTGTTACTGCAATAAAATACACATATTTGTATTCAGCAAAGTCTCACGTGTAAAACAGTACCTCCTATGTACAGGTTTTATGGTGTTTTGGGAAGTTACGGGGTCAAATATAGCACGTTACATTTGAAATTGAAATTCGCCAGATTGGTTACATTGCCTTTGAGACTGTATAGTAGCCCAGGAATGAAATTTACACCCATAATGGCATACCATTTGCAATAGTAGACAACCCAAGGTATTGCAAATGGGGTATGTCCAGTCTTTTTAGTAGCCATTTGGTCACAAACACTGGCCAAAGTTAGCGTTAGTATTTGTTTGTTTGTGAAAAATGCAAATAACGCCAATTTTGGCCAGTGTTTGTGACTAAGTGGCTACTAAAAAAAGACTGGACATACCCTGTTTGCAATACCTTGGGTTGTCTACTATTGCAAATGGTATGCCATCATAGGGGTAATTTTCATTCTTGGGCTACCATAGGGTCTCAAAGGCAACGTAACCAATATGGCGAATTTTAATGTGAAAAAAATGAAACACAAGCCTTATATTTGACGCTGTAACTTTTTAGAAAAACCATAAAACCTGTACATGAGGGGTACTGTTGTACTCGGGAGACTTCGCTGAACACAAATATTTATGTTTCAAAACAGTAAAAAGTATCACAGCAACAATATCGTCCGTGTAAGTGCTGTTTGTGTGTGAAAAATGCAAAAAAACTTAACTTTTTCTGGCGATATCATCGTTGTAATACATTTTACTGTTTTGAAACACTAATATTTGTGTTCAGCGAAGTCTCCCAAGTAAAACAGTACCCCCCATATACAGGTTTTATGATGTCTTGGAAAGTTATAGGGTTAAATATAGTGCTAGCAAATTAAATTCCCTATACTTTCGGCATGGGTTGTCAGGCAGGTCCTGCTAATTGTAATTAATTAAAATACCTAATTATGTAAAAATATTACATAAATATATATGTAGAACTAATATATGTATATATATATGTATGTGTATATATATATATAATTTTTAAAAAATATTTTTATTTATATATAGCTATATATATAGTGATATATACGTATATATTTATGTATATAGATATATATATTATTTCGTTCTACGTGTATTTTGATATAAATATATATTAATATCACAATACAGTTAGAACGAAATAACATACATCTATATATTTTTTAATTATTTATTTTTAATTATTATTTTTTTTTTTTAAACGTATTTACATTTTTTTTATATTATATATAAATATATATATATAACAATAATTATATATATATTTAATCAGTATCAGTCTATGTGTAATTTGATATTAATATATATATAATTATATATATTAATAGTAAAATACACCTAGACAGTGTATGTGTGTGTGTATGTATATATGTATAAAAAAAAAATGAGTATATATGTAATAAGTATAAATGTATATGTGTATATATACTTAGATCATATATATATAATATAATATGATCTAAGTATATATAAAAAAAAAAATTTACACTGATTTTAACTTTCTTTTATTTTAATTCAGCCAGCAGGGGGACTAACTGTCATTACAGGCAGTCCCCCTGCTGGCAATGCAGCAGCCAGCTAACCTGGCCATGTGATTGTGGGGTCCTCGCAAGGACCTCACTCTCACATGGCCGGGGGAGGCAGGATCCGCTGCGGGGGACTCCCTGGGATCCCAGGTGAGTCTTCCCAACCGCGATCGCCAGCGTGGGATCGGCGGCGACTGGGTAAGTAAGAAAAAACAGAGGGCGTACAATTACGCCCTGCGGCGTTTAGAGCCGCTTAGAATAGGGCGTAATAGTACGCCCTCCGGTTTTAAGGGGTTAAAGACAGGAGGTGAATATTCGCTTTACCTTCTTTACTGAAAAACCTCCAGCAGCAAAGAAATAGTTAACAGAACTTTTTCAAACAACCAATCAGAACAAAATAACAGCGGTATGAAATCCCTCAGTCAGACACTCCCTCTTCCTCTTTCTTTGATGAGGTCGAGCAGGAGAGCAAGGAAAACCAACTAATCCACCTTGTAACAGGTACATTTAGAGAAATCGCCAAAACCAGAGGGAAACCAGATTACACTGCAAGGAAAAAGAAACACCATGAAAGTAAACTGTCAAGGCAAGATGTCATATCCCCAAAAAAATGTTACTTCCACAGTATAATACATGAGGAATAAACGCACACGGACAACCAAAACCGTATATTAGAAAAAAATCTTTATTATACATCATAAGACCATACACTGTAAAACATAACAATACCCCTTTGTAACATAAGAAAAAAAAAAAAACAATACCAGGGAGGGACACGTAAAAGGGTGGGAGATAATCGCCTCTTGTCTTTAATAAAATTTAGATTATTCCCTCACCGAGGCTAGAATAATCCCTAATTTTATGGCAAGACAGGAGGCTTCATATTTGCAATTTTAACGCCCAGACATACAAACAGAATAAACGTGAGATCGTGGACGGAAATAAAAAGTATGGAAAGTCGATTCCCTAAACCAAACATTGGCGCTGAGAAATATCCTTAAGAGACCCACCGGCTTCTAGAGCTGCTGAAGCTTCAGTGCCCCAAACCGAATGTGCCCCAAAGGAACTCGCCACGCCAGCCTATGAGAGAAACCACCGAATCCAACGAGCGATCGTAGGTGCAGAAACAGCCCTAAATGGTCATACGTAGGAAATTAACAGCTGCCCATGAGCAGAAGGGCAAAAGGACGAGGTCCTGGATATATACGTCCATAGGCAACGTGCCACACAGCCACGTGGCCTATCTGGAGAGTAGGGATACAACCCAGAAGACGAATGAGATGTTGTCCTGCGTGAAATAGAAACAGACACACCATCTGGTGAGAAGGAGAAAGAGTCTACATCAGAAGAACGAACATCAGAAATGTGACGAAAAGATATAACAGGATAGCCAGCTAAGCAGAAAGCTGGCGCAAAGACAAATCCCCGTTATCAGGCCACTCCTCAAGGGATCCGAAACAAGCGATACAACCCAAAATGAGGAATAGTGAGAGGTAGGGGTCTCGAAAGGCATACACCTCGGAGTAGTCTGCAGAGCGAGGGGTCCTATCAATGCCAGAATCTTGAGAAGGCACATGAGCCGTCGAACTAGCTGACTGAAAGATGTTAATGGTACTATACAACTTACCCTGAGAAAACAATTCAGCCAGGAAGTTCAGGACTGCCAATATAGGGGCCGTAAAGGGATCCAAACTTCTCTCCAGCTACAAGCCATGCCAGGATCGCCAAGCGTGCAGGTATGATCTTCTGGTGCCAGACGCCCAAGAGTCACAGAGTAACTCTCTAACCGTCGTCGATAGGCCCAACATCTCCCAGGAGCCCCGGAAACGGTCCAAGCCACTGAGCAGTAGGTGAACCTCTAATATCAATGGATGTAGATTCCCTTGTGGATCCCGTAGGAGACACCTGGAGACAAGGAGTAGTAGAGGGCTTTCGCATGACAACTCCAGCAAGAGAGGTAACAATGGTTTGATCCTCCAATGTATTGTGACCAGGAGAAGTGACACTCCTAGGAGTGTGGTCCGATGCAATGTCCGAAGTATCATGGAGAAAGGGGGAAATGCATACACCCACGAGGGAGGCCAGTCTCTGAGAAACGCATCCACCACCTCGTTGAGGGGTCCAGAAGTCAACTGAAGAACAAACTCCGTCTAACGGTTCACCCTGGATGTGAAGTGAGGGGGGTCTCGGAATGAGTCCAGTAGTCGAAACACTGGAGGGTGAATTTGCCAGTGTCATGAGAACCAGTCCGCTACTTGATTGTCCTGTCCCGGGAGATATTCTGCCACAAGTGACAAATTTGGCGATCAGTCAGGAGAGAGTGCAACACCATCTCCCTCACCTAGTCGTAATGGCCGCTGAAAAAAAAAAACAGCAGTGGGGGATGTGGCACCAGAGCTGTCAGTCCGGTACTCATCCAGGACGTCACAACTCTCTTCCACTGGGTGGCTGCCTGAACCAGAGGCTATCTTGGTTAACTTGGCAGACAGCTTCCTCTTTATTGGTGGGAGCGCCATGGCCCTTCCAAGGTCCCTTACGTGTGGAGCCCATATCCACAGAGCAGAGGGAATCGCCCGAGTCAGAGCCCCGAGCACCTGAGGTGCTGGGTGCAGGGTGGTCGGTGGAGCATTACCATGGAAGGCAGTGAGGGCTTTGGGCACTGAGACAACTACGGTAGCACAAAGCATTTCTGGGCACGGAAATCTGCTCCGTCAGCCATGACTGTATCACTGCCATAGAGGTAAAACACTGTCAGTGTGGTACCTGGTGAGGCCAGCGTGCAAGAGGGGGTCACCCAACAAGCACAAGCATACCATGCAGTATAGGCCAGCAGGGAAGGGGGTCACCCTCAGTAAGATTATAACAGGACACTGTAGGTACAGCAGTGCAGCCAGCGGGAGGGGGTCATCCTCATTATGATTATAACAGGACCCTGTAGATCCAGCAGTGCAGTCAGCGGTAGGGGGTCACCCTCAATATGAATTTAATAGGGCCCTGAAGGTCCAGTGGTGCTGTCAGAGGGAGGGGGTCACCCAACCCAAAAAAGTGTCACGGACACCCCAGCAGGGCACAGCGGGGGGCAGTAATGTCAGACAGGGTAGTGCCCTCTAATATAGTAGCTGTAAGGGGGGTCACCCCACACATAACAGGGCAGAGGCCTACCTCCACCTGGGGCCCAGGTGGCCTAAAACCTGCAAGGAAAATAAAATGGTGTATGTGGGGGCCGGCAGCACAGCCAGCACGTAGGGAGAGCGGGTAGGCGAGGAACCGGAGGTCCGTGGGAGCGCATGCAACACCAAACCAATGGTGGGGGCAAGGGTGCCGCAATCGCGGGCAGTGTGAAGGCTGGCAAGGGGGTTCCCCAGGGAAACCCAAAAGCCAGGCAGCACCCCAGGAGCCCAGAACCCCACGTAAATCAAAGAGGCACACACAAAACAAGCAGCTGCAATAATAAACACAAAATAAGCAGTAACAATGCAAATAAATACACGAAAGAACCCAAAGCAGACATACTCTCTGAGTTGGACAGTGCTCACCTGGAGGCAGCAGCAAACAAAGAGGAAGTGGTAAGGTCAGACTGAGGGATTTCATACCGCTGTTATTTTGTTCTGATTGGTTGTTTGAAAAAGTTCTGTTAACTATTTCTTTGCTGCTGGAGGTTTTTCAGTAAAGAAGGTAAAGCAAATATGAAGCCTCCTGTCTTGCCATAAAATTCAAAGTTGAGTTGTGATACAGGGGTTAAAGTGACATGAGAGCAGAAAAGCCACAAGTTTGATAGAAAATAGACACCTTTCTCACAGAGGGCCGTAAATATCTAAAAATGTTTTTCAGAGTCTCATCTTCTGCTAATATTGGTTGTAGGTCTTTAATGATTTTTCACATTTCCTCAAGAGCTGGGTTGTAAAGATCACTGAGTGGGTGGGGAGAGGGGGAAAAAACAAAACAAGCAAACAGTGCATAGGATGGTGCTAGAAGGGGAGAGTAAACAAATTACATGTTTAGATTAAAAATGCATTTTTACATATGTACTTTGTATATTGATATAATAAACAAGTCATCGGAATGCATTTTAAAATATGGATACATATAACCAAACAGTGAGATAATGATGGTTGGTGGTGTGGGAGGGGGTTAAGTAAAATGTTGGTAATGGGGCAGGAAACCCAAATCAACATTTAGCCCTCTATTCTTGCTGTTAAAGAATTGGATCATTTTGGCTTTAATCATTTTTCTTTCTTGGGTATTCTTAAAATCCGCTTTCAGTACTTTGATTTGTAGGTCCTTGATTGAGTGGCCAGGCTGGGTAAAATGGTGTCTCACAGGAGTGCAATAGGATTCTTCTTTGTGGTGTTTAATGGAGAGTCTGTGCATATTCATTCTGCCATTTAATTGCTGGGTGGTTTCCCCAATGTAGCATCCTAGGTGGCATTTGGTGTATTGAATCATGTATACCAAATTGCTGGATGTACAGGAGTATGAACCTTTAATGCTGTGGGTTTTATTGTTTTGAGTGGCTTGATTGTCTGTGCACATGCGCTGGCACAGTTTGCAGCGAGGTTTTTTTGCATTGTCTGGTCCCATTTTCTTTATTCTTCCCCTCGGTGGCTAGCTTCCTGTTGATTCATTTTTGGTGGAGGTTTAGTGGTTGTTTCAGTAAAAATGTTTTTCAGAGTCTCATCATCTGCTAATATTGGTTGTAGGTCTTTAATGATTTTTCAGATTTCCTCAAGAGCTGTGTTGTAGGTGACTACAAGTGGTACACATGTAGACATTTTTTTCTCTCTGTATTGTAGCAGGCTCGTGCTACTTGTGTATATGTATACGTGCATGTGTGTGTCTGTGTATGCTGTATATAGGCCTTAATGCATATTCTGGAACTCTTGGATGTGAATTCATGCATTGTTAATCTAAGTAATTGTTTTTATGTACTCTCCCCTTCTAGCACCATCATTTCTGCACTGTTTGCTTGTTTTTCTCACTCTGTGATCTTCACACAAGATATTTACGACCCTCTGTGAGAATGGGGTCTATTTTCTATCAAACTTGTGTCCGGGGCCGGCCCAATACATTGTGCTGCCTGGATCCAAGGATTAAATGCTGCCCCCCTGTTCCAAAAGCACAGCAACATCCATTATGTTATGCATTATGTGTATTGTATGCAGTGTGTGTGTAATGAATGAGATGTGAGTATCTGTGCCATGGATGCAGTGTGTGTATATAGTGCAGGCTGTGTAGTAGTGTCTGTGTAGTGCATGAAGTGTTGGATAAATGCTGGGCAGGTGACCAGTTTAAATTCAGTTTGGCTTGTATAGTGACAGTGTGTAGGATGGTTACAGTGCGGGGGGGGAGGCAGGATGTGAGGGTGACAGTGTTGGGGGGGAAGGATGTGGGGGATGACAGTGTGGGAGCAGAATGAGAGGGTGACGGTGGGAGGTGGCAGGATGTGATGGTGACAGTGACAATGTGGGGGGCAGGATGTGAGGATGATATTGCAGACATATGGACCTTGAGGGTGTTAAAACTTAGGCCTTTGCATAATCCTTCTTGAAGGACGTTAGAACATCTGCCACTATTGACTCCATAAAGTTAACTTCTTTTTCAGACCAGGATCTGAAAACTTCTAAGATTCTATGGTAGCATGCAGAAGTAGAGATCTTTCTTGCTTTCAAAATTGTACCTGAGATGGATTTGGACAAACCTGAGTTTCCTTTTCTCAAGAGCCATGCCACTAACTGCAGGGATTGAGGAACTTCATGTACTACTATCCTGGTTCATACAAAATAGCAGAAGTACCACTACTATCACTGCGCTGTTTTCTTTCTAGATTTTCCTCAACATTCAATGAAACAGAAAAATAAGCAGGGAAATAAAGGCTAGGTCGAGGACCCCCTTCAGTGCATTCTGAGCTTCTGCCTCTGTGGTCTTTCCAATGCAAGAACAATCGGGGATCTGATGAGTTCTTAAATGTCATCAGGTCTACTTGTGGCAGGTTCTGCAGGATCACCTCATTGTAGAGACTACATTTTTTCCTGGGTCTATGCTCAATCTGCTCAGAAAGTCTGCTAGATTTTCTTTCCCCAGAGGTTATACTGCCTTGAGACCTTTTAGGTAATGTATAACCCATACAATAATTGGCAGTATTTATTTAATTAGCACAGTAATTTTGAGAAGAAACCAAGTCAACAACATAGTCTGATCATGCAAATACTTCATATGTAAAGTATGACCAAAAAGTCAATTTTCTGTCTTCCTAAAGGATGCTGAATTAATTTTTTTAGCCATAATATCCCTTAGACTCCATGTTCTACAAACAAGCAGTCCCAAACATTTAGGACATTAACTTGTGGCAAAAAGTTTTTTGTTTCTTTTTTGGAGGCAAGTAAAGTTATTTACTAAAGTGAGAATTCAAAGTGAATTTCCAGTTTGAGACTAGAATAGCTAAACTAAAAGCATAGCTGACCTTTAATTTAAAATTCCCTTTGCATTCTCACTTTAATGAAGAACCCTTTTAGTGATCTAGGCTTTTCTGGATTTTGCCACTTTTTTAGACATATCTTGAATTCTGGGATGTGAAGATTCACCAAGCTCTACTATGTTAGTCACTTCTTCAGTCAGTTTGATTAACCACTGTCAGACATAAATATAACCTGACAAACAGAAGAAATGAAAGGAGCTGGTACTGGATTCTTCGAAATCTGGAGAAGCTAATTTTATATGATTTTGAAAATATATATATATATACACTGGAGAAAGCGCTATGCAAAGTCAGATTCCCCTACCTGATAGATAAGAAATTACAGACAATAATACGCTCTACTAAATGGTGTCTAAAAGTAGCTCCATCTCCTGACTTTTGAGTGCGACAAAACACTTCACCCCTTTATGTGTTGCATACGAACTCTGTGAAGCCTAACAGACACATTGATACTTTTATCTAACAATATATCTAATTACATCATGGAGGCAATCCTAATCTGAAAAATGTTGGAATTAAGCTTGTCTGATTGGACACAAGGGTAATCTGAACTTTTGAGGAGAGGCTGTTTCTGGATCTATCGCCTTGGAACACTCAAGCCTTTAGGCTTGAATGAGGGTTTTTCAAATACCCCATTAATGAACTATTAAGATTTTTCTTTACAGTTTTTTTAAGTCTTTTCGCAGACTTTCATACTTGTCACTTCTGTTCAAGTACACAATTACTTTTTTCAGACCACCCACTATCATCATTCTTACTCCCAATAGTGTATCTTTTTCTACGTTTTCCTAGTTCGAGAGATTCTTGGGCTGGTTGGTATTTGTGAGCATTCCAGTTCTCATTCTATTAGTACTATACATGTAAGCTACAGGTTGGTACATGTATAGTACTCTGTCCTATATTTAGTAATAACTGGTTTAGCTATTAACTGAGCAGTTTTGCATAAATACATACACACTTACACGCAGCCTCTCCCTACTAAGAGACTTTTTGGGCTGGCTCAAAGTAGTGAGAATTCCAGTTCTTATTTACTCCGCACTATATATGCAAGTGGCTAAAGTCATGTTTGATTGTTCTGTTACACACATCTCAACTGATATTTGTTTCTTTTATTATACAAGATACCATTTGGTTCCCCATTATACATAGTGGAATGGGAAAATGTCTACTTAAAGGACCACTATGGGCACCCAGACCACTTCAGCTTAATGAAGTGGTCTGGATGCCAGGTCCAGATAGGATTAACCCTTTTTTCTGTCAACAGTTTCAGAGACTGCTATATTTACCTATGGGTTAATCCAGCCTCTAGTGGCCGTCTCATTGACAGCCGCTAGAGGGCTTCCGCGCTTCTCATTAATTTTCACAGTGAGAAGACGCTTGTGTCCATAGGAAAGCATTGAGAATGCTTTCCTATGGACTGGCTGAATGTGCGCGCAGCTCTTGCCGTGCATGCGCATTCTGCAGAAGAGGATGATAAGAGGGAGGAGAGCTCCCCGTCCAGTGCTGGAGAAAGGTAAGTTTAACCCCTTCCTCACCCTAGAGCCCGGCGGGAGGGGGACCCTGAGTTATCGACTTGCTTAGGAGGTATTCTGATCCACATTTAGACCAGCTCTTTGGTCAGTATAGTTTTCTGCCCCTGACGAAGGTGCAGCTATGCACTGAAACGCACATCGGGAGTTAGGATTTATTGTTTATTTTTCACTGGGCACGATTTTGCTCACTCTTATGGCACCTATTTAGTGGTAGTGTAATTCTCTTAGCTCAGTTTAGCTATAGATGGTAATAGATTGCCGTCACTACAGCAACTAAGGCCGCCCTCTATTTACAGGATTATCTGAGGAAAATGGTATCCCTTTACTTATATTTTTAAGCTCCTGTGTACTACTTATTTCAATATAGGTCTCTACCACAATACATTTAGCCGTTACTTTGTACTTTAACCAAACTTAAAGTCTGTATAGTACATTGTAGCCATTTCTGGCTTATACCTTTATCTAGTTACGCTACTTTTAGACAGTTTAGTATTATGGTCTAATTTTTTATCTACCAGCTAGTGGGGCTCTTTCTTTGGATAGAGCTTTCTCCAGTATATATTTTTTTTTTCAAATTCTATGTTTGAGTTTGTGCCCTGGGTAGACTGGTACTACCCACTGACACTCCCATTGAGAGCAGTGCTCCACTGTTGTCAAGTGCCCATTCTCCGCAAGCTTTCACACTTTTTGGAGCTAATTTTATAACCAGAAGTTTGTAAATTATGTAGAAACCAGCTCATGAATTACATTTTTGCCTTTTAAACCTTTCCAGCAGTTTCCTTGAATACAGGCATTGTCATGCACAGTGGGCGTGATTTTGTCCCAGCATCGCAAGAGTTGATCTGCTTTTGTTTTTTCAGTAAAAGTTTCAGAACAACCTGAATAAACAAGGTCTCAAATTTATCACTTGGTCAGAAGAGGTTTGCTTTGCTGGAAAGCAAAGCGGAGATATATGACTAAATGCCAACCCAGGCAAATTGAACTCCTCTTGGACTTTATTTGATAAACATTGGAATGGTCGTAGTTGGGAGCACCCACAGGGCTACAGTAAAATTCTTAGGGATATCTGCACTAGAGTAGTTTGTTAGGTTTATCACATTTTACTTTTAATAACAGTTTTCTGCATGTCTTGTTTTTGTATGTCTTTTTTCCTGTAATTTTTTATCCTAGCTTTGTAGTTATTAAAAAAAAATCTAATTGTTTTTGAGCACTAGTATGTGGATTCACGGTCTAAATATTTTTTTACAACACAGATAATTGGCTAAATTGTGTTGTGTTATTTTGATTAAAAGTCAGATTATTGTGGGTAACCAAGAGACTCCTTTATAAATTTCCTTTGTAGTGGCAGCTTTGATAGCGAGTGGGGCTTTTCCCCTTCATTTTTAGTCTAGTGCAGGCAAACCATGATTGTTAAACGGACATTGTAGGCACTTTTTGAAACTTCATCTTATAGAAGCTGATCAAGTACCTGCAGTCCTGCCCCCGCCCTATCCCCCAAAACCCAATACAAAGGCTTGGAAGTGTGTTTGTATGCAAGAGATGGCCTTGACTAAAATAATGCTTTGTGCCTTATTAGAATCCTGACCACCATGTTTGTTTTCAAGTTCTTGATCACAAATGCTTCATTGCATGAAAAATTTATTATGTTTGCAATAATACACAGCCAATGGAGGAAAAAACATTTTATTTAGGCCATTTTGTTTAATAGATATAGTTTAAAACGTTTTTCTGCTCCCCTTACATTGGGCTTAAAGCATGACTAAAAAAACCTGCAAACAACTCAAAAGTCTAGTCCAAAAACTGGGGGGAAGAAAATAAAACAGTTTAAAATTACACGTAGTACAGCTAGATAAGCAATACTATTTGGAAAACAGCCAGTGGGAAAATATTTCAGGCTAGTTTTGTATAGTAAGATAAACTAGTTAAAAATAATTCTGCTAGGTTTACATTGGGCTTACGATGCACCAGTACTAAAAAGATGCAAACCACTTGAAAGTAAAGTCCAGACAATCAAAATATAGAACTGATAAAGTTACATATAGTACTGCTAGATAAGCAAGACTACTTCGAATACACAGCTAGTGGAAAAATACATTTCATTTAGGCCAGTTTTTGTATAATAAAAATTAAACAGCTTGGACGTGTAAAAATGGCTCTGTAGCTTGGCAAACGACAAAACTGGAAACTACCTGCAAACCAAGGAGTTGATACAAAAACCAAGAGGCACATTTATTTGCAAATTTATAAAAATGAAGCCCCAATTAACACTTACGATTTGAAAAGTTTACAGTGAAATGCTCAAAAAAAAAATTAAATCATGAAACAAATTCAAGACCAATCTACCTAAAGCACTTATGGCAGTGAGACTGAACAATCTGCAGCTATGGCAGGCATGCAGTCTTGAGAGAGAGAAAAAAAAACAAAAAAAAAAAACAGTCAAGGTCTGATTGAGGTAGAAGGATATCCCTGGACCAAGAAAAATAAAAAAGTAAAGCAAATAGGTGCTGCAACTCTCCAAAGGGAAATGGGTTATGCGAAAAAACGGTTTTGCACACGACAGTCAAATCTGAGTATACCTGTCCAGGCTTCTAACAAGACAAGTATCCCAATTACCCTTAATTTTACAGGTAGAAAGACAACTTTAGATTTCCAAAACCTGAAGTGTCCCCACAGTACAGATATACATCTGCAATAGGAAAGGAAGAATTTTAACAAAATAATCCTATTAACAGGATTAACAACAAAAAAAACAGTCCCTTAAATCCATACAAATAAAGGCAGATCTTTCAATATATGCATCCTTATCACCGTCCACGTTCATATCCAGGAAACAGTTGTAGTAGGATGGTTTGAAGTGGCTTATTCACACTCATGGAATAGTTTTTGCCCAGGTCAAATCTGCAGGCTGGGCAGCTGTACACAGATGCTTTAAAGGAACGATCCAGGCAACCCTGTGTGAAGAACGATTTTGGTTAAAGAAACAGCTTTCAGATTTTAAAAACATAATAGTCTTCGTTAAACAAGTCCAGTTTACCATAGATTTTGGTTTATTACACATTACAAAAAAGCTACCTTTCTGAAAAAATGGATAATCGTGTACCTAGTAAGTTTGTAATCTTCTGGTGAGGCTAGATACACCTTTTAACAGACAGGCTTCCCACTAACCAGAAAGCTATTCAATACCCTTTTTAATGCCAACATGCCTAAAAAGCGCTGAATAAAGGTTCAATCTGACAAATGCTTTAAAGTATTGCAGACAAGGTATATACACGATTTCTCAGGGATACCGTTCTTCCAAATAGTATGATTTAGGTCTTAATCCAGCACCATAGAGAGACAGGGACGCTCTGGACTTGCAAGGGGTTGCTCTAAGGTGGAGTAGACAACCTTCTAGTAGTGTGCCAAAATAAGATCTTTACGTCCCTTGGTGTGACAGTCCTATTTTTTTATTTGAGGTATGTATGTTGTGCTATGAGTGCTGTATATAGTTTCTTTGTAGTGTTCTAGTTGTGCGTATCTGGGCTATCATATTGTATATATTTATGGAGTAGTTTGTGACATTGTCTATGATACCAATGAATGTGGGATGTGTATGGTGGCTGCTTGTGGAATTGTGTGTGGATATGTCACACTGTTTGGTAGTGTGATGTGTGGGGCTGCTTGTGGAGTTCTGTGCATGTATGCAGATTGTCAGTGGTGTGTCTGTGGGGACAGTGTGTGTTTGTGCGCGGTTTGTATGAAGGGGAGGCTTATTCTGCAGCTTGGTGCATATCTAGCAGTGTGTGGCTTCCCTGGGGTTCAATGGGGACGGGACTTGCAAAGTAAAGGTCGTGGGCAAAAGCTGCTGCAGGAAGCTCTACTTTAGTGTGGTTTGCTGCAAGGAAGTGATCTCCGCTCATTCCTTTAAGTGTTGTAATGCATAAATTGAGGATTGTCCCTTACCACCTTTTTGCACAAATAGATATCTGAAGTTCCACTGGGACTCCTGATAGGCCAGAGCTTGTTTAGCTCTAGGTCTTGAGTGCCGTGTAAAGGCACACAGAGTACAATGGGTTGCCTACCCCTGCTCTAAGGGTACAGTGGCTTCAAGTACCTCCATGTCAACAATGACGTAACAATATATTTTTTTTGTGATTGAAGGGCATAACAAGCATTTAGAGAAAAATAAGTTTGCCACCTATTTAAAAGTGATACCAGGGCTTCAAATCTGAAGTACTATGTCAGATAGGCTTAAAAGTTACTCACCACTGCAAGCAATAGTATATCTTCCATAGGTGAATTTCTATTTGCTAGGACCAAATTTTCACTTGCCACTGGTTAGTGAAAATTTTGAGTCCTGATTTTAGTAGTATCTAGATTGTTATACAGTGAACCTTTTAAACGGCTACTTCAGTCCACAACAAAGCAATCTCAATTAAGTCGTGGAGCCTAGAGTCACCATGTGCCATGTTAGAGCAGCCAAAGGAATCATTGCCTTGACTATTACTTGTAATGGACAACCAGTGAAAGGTTATTTACGCCAGCTGATGCAGATAATCTCAACTTACTTAATGGTAATAGAGAAAACCGAGAAGGCAGCATTACGGGTGACCAGGACCAGAGGTTAGTAGTTAAAACCGTTCAAAGTGGTTTAAAAGGAGCACTCTGATAGATACAGACGTCTGTTGATACAATTCCCTGATACATAACTTGGCATTGCAATTATGTCCCATTAAAGGCAAGTCATATTGCAGTTTATTTGGTCCACGAAAAGAGAAAGGAAAAAGAATCCAGTTGTCTAAAAAGCAATGGGCACTATATATATGCTACTGTATAATACATTTTCAAAAACTTTAAAGCCGTTTACTCACCTTACAAATATTATGCAAGCATTCAGTTGTGATTGGTTCATAGACTACTTCTTGGCAGCATATACACAGGAATGTTTCTTCGACCTTGCTCAAAAATTTCTGCAAGAAAAATTTACATAATTTTTAAAATAATTTTCTGAACTATAAACCCCTTAAAAAGCCAAAGTTAATTACAGAATTACAATGTGGAAAACTTACAGGTCCTTCTTTAAGGAATGGCATTACTTCATTCCATGATTTCGTGTTCAGTGTATCCGCTTTAATAAGAGCTTTCTGCTCTGCGCTGAGTTTGTATAGTTCCACCTTTACTTTCTTTGGAGTTCCATCAAGTACTTCAAGAACATCACCTTTGTCTAGAGAAATATTTGCAACACAATTAGTTCTTAACAAAATAAAGTCTACTTCGTGCATACATATTTTTACATTTCAAAAAAATAATTACTAACCAGATTTCCTCTTCCGTTTTCCTTTTTCAGGAGTTTCCAGATCATTCAGCTTATTTTCCTTCTCCCTCTCCTTATTTAAGACAGATTCCAAATAACCTTCAGGATACTGACAAGGAAGAATAGGACAAGAAACCTTTTAACTACAGATTTGAAAAGTTCCCACTTTAAAAACTAATTGCATGCTAAAATCATGAATCACCCAATCTATTTGAGAAGTGCATTAGGGTGCCTTTTAGCACAGATCTGCAGACACAAGGCTGCTTACAATATTTGTGCATGTGCTGCCGGTCCGCAATTTCAATGCTCTTCAGGCCTCTACTGGCCCACTGGAATAATTCCCAATGGACTGCAGTATCTGGAGCAGACCAAGCAACAAGTATATATTATGTGCTCAAAAGTGATCACAATGAGATAAGATGGAGCTCATAACGAACGCCATATATAAATTTGTGACAGTGAGTTGTGGAAAGTTATACCTGCAAAGTGAGACCAAGCTTTTTTACTCTTTCCTTGCCGTCCTTGCTCCATGGAGCTGGTTCTTCATCATCTCTCCTCAGCATGTAGCGCCATACAAGGAACCCAGACTTCCCTTTTTCAGGCCAATACTTCACTACCTACAGCAGATAAGAAAACATTTCACAGACCATTATTTCCATTTGGTTAGCAGCAGTATAACCACATGGATGTTCCTCCTAAAGTCGCACTGGACAGAGAATTGGAGAAAAAAATAAAAATAAACACTTTAAAATGTGCTAGTACAACCCCTTATCCCCTCCCTACCCTCCAGAACCTTAATCAAGACACCAGAATACTGCAGATTTTATAGAAGTTATGGAGGAGGTCTATATTGTGGCTAATCCTGCGGAAAATTGATTTTACGTTAAGGAATTCCCCCCCCCCCCAAAAGAATAGGTTGAAAAATCTTTTGCCCCAAAACAGACTTGAGGCAATGTTTAATTTGTGTTTGGTGAATGAATGCAATTAAGATCAAGTTGCTGCTTTGCAAATCTGTTCAGCTGAAGCATGCAAAGCCCAGGAAGTAGAGTTGAATGATTTTTTACATGAAGGAGAGACCTTAGAACACAAGCTTTCTGAACAGCATTTCTTATCCGTCTTGCAAAAGAGGGTTTGGAGGTGGATTTACCTTTATTTTTCTTTCATAGAGGCCAGGTGAAGAGACAAAGCAGTACGCAAATATTTAGAGCATACTTAGCATCTAGTAATTTTGTCAAAATTCAGGAAGAAGTTTCTTGAAGCAGATTAGTCAAATTTACTTTTGTTCTAAAGGGAGAAAGTAGTGTAACAACCACTTTATCTGCATGGGAAACCAGGTAAGGTGACTTTACACCCAACAACTGTAGGTCACTAAGGAGGACGTCATTGAAAAAAATCTTTAGTTTTAAAAGTCAGAGAAAAGTTTTGTAAAAGCACAAATGTATCAAAGGACAGAGGACAGAACCAAATTTAAATCCCAAGAGTAAGTTCTCCAAGTTGAGATCTAATATTGATAGTTCTCACACACCTGACTATCCGGGTGAGCTGCGAGAAGAGAAAAAAAACAACCGAGAGCCTTAATGTGCTGGGTGGTATGGCACTCCAAAGAAAACAGAATACATTGTGGTGAAGGCTAGTTACCTCCATAACAGGCAATCAGGACAAATCCACAGGTTTAAAAAAGGATAGGAACATAAGTGTAGAAACACACAAATCAATAAATGTTAGCCACTATGCCTAAATCATGAGTCACAAACAAACCATTTTAAATACTGAATAAGCACATAAATGGAAAAGCCTTGCCTCAAATGTCATTGGTTCCTCCTCTAACCAGAGACATTTGGGCGCGACTTAAAAAGGTATATAACTGTCAGTTCAATAAGTGCTATGAGGAAGTGGTGCTAATGTGGCTCCAGGGGAAATGTGTGAACCACGACTTGGCATTTGACACTTGGCCTGGGTATTGTGTAAAGCTCTAGCACTAGAGTAGCGACTCCTTCCATGGCTGACATTAAAAGCACTAGGAAAAAGCCAGAAAATAAAAATTTTAACCTGCAGAAGTCCTGAGTGAGACCAGTGGCTCAAAATGATGTACCGTATATACTCGAGTATAAGCCGACCCGAATATAAGCAGAGGCCCCTAATTTTACCCCAAAAAACTGAGAAAACGTATTGACTCGAGTATAAGACTAGGGTGGGAAATGCAGCAGCTACTGGTAAATTTCTAAATAAAATTAGATCCTAAAAAAATTATATTAATTGAATATTTATTTACAGTGTGCGTGCATGATGGGCGCCGCGCGTGCGGCGCAGCATGTGGCGATGCAGCGTGCGATGCAGAGCCTTGGTGGGGGGTGGGCATTTTTATTAAAAAAAAAATATTTTAATTTTTTTGTTATATTTTTTTTAATTATTTTTTTATTATTTATATATTTATTTATTTTTTGTCCCCCCTCCCTGCTTGATACATGGCAGGGAGGGGGGCTCTCCTTCTCTGGTGGTCCAGTGGCATTGGCAGTTCAGTGGGGGGAGGAGGGGAGCTGGCAGAGCTGTTACTTACCTCTCCTGCAGCTCCTGTCAGCTCTCTCCTCCGCGCCGGTCCGTGCAGCTCTTCTGTCAGCTCACACTAAGTCTCGCGAGAGCCGCACTATGACCCCGCGGCTCTCGAGAGACTTACACTGGGAGCTGACCGGACCGGCGCGGAGGAGGAGAGAGCTGGCAGGAGCTGCAGGAGAGGTAAGTAACAGCTCTGCCAGCCCCCAGTCTGTATTATGGCAATGTAAATTGCCATAATACAGACTGACTCTAGTATAAGCCGAGTTGGGGGTTTTCAGCACAAAATATATATATAAGTATATACGGTATGTCCCTTTTAAAGGTGATAAACATTTTAAAAGTGTGAGTTTGTGTACAAGTCTCTCCATCCAGTGGGAGGTGAGGAGAAAATTTTTGTTTTGAACAACCATCAACATGCAAATCAAGTTTAAGAAATTAACAAAAAAACATTTTACAATAATCTTAAGATGCATGAAATGTTCACCTTGTAGATCCCATCATAGCGGTTTCCGTCTTCTGGTGCATATTTACTGTGTTTCCGTCCCTTAGCATTACGAACAACACGCACTGGTTTGCCGGCTTTCCAATCCTTTGCTACGGCACCAGTTTTGTCATTGATAGGAGCACTGCAGTTTAGTGCCAAAGCTCTGTCAAAGAAAGTGGTAGTCAGCATGCATGAACGAATCTGTTTTATACAAAGCATTAGCGATTAAATCTTCATGAATCTACAGATAAATACACAATATGGAGTGAACAGAGTGAAGCTCAAACACCTTGAGTGGTATTCCCTAAACCACCTCTACAGAATACATAAAGAATATACATAAGATGGAGCTTCTTGTAAACTTACAGTAAGTGTCTGCAAAAATATAAATACATAACACGAATAGTGCAATATTGCTATCACAAAGATGGGCTATAAGCAAATCTATATTGTCTCACTCACAAGTCAAGAGTCATAAATCACATGGCTCAAGTGTTAAAAACTCGTGGACGATTTTAGGATGCCCAATCCTCTCTTTTGCTCACGGTTCTGCTGGACACCTGGTTCCTCTGAGAGTGCTCCTGGTCATCCAGTACTTCCAATGTGAATATAGGGTACCACAGCCAAGGTCTCAAATAGTAAACCTTTATTGGTAATCCCTGATACATGGAAACGTTTGAGAGGCCGAGGCAGAACAATTGTGCATGGCACCCTCTTCATACAAACAGATATCCATTTAGCTTCATATTTATTTTTATTATTTTATATTTATGAAGCTAAACGAATATCTGTTTGTATGAAGAGGGTGCCATGCACAATTGTTCTGCCTTGGCCTCTCAAACCTTTCCATGTATCAGGGATTACCAATAAAGGTTTACTATTTATGAGACCTTGGCTGTGGTACCCTATATTCACATTGGAAGTACTGGATGACCAGGAGCACTATCAGAGGAACCAGGAGTCCAGCAGAACCGCGAGCAAAAGAGGATTGGGCATCCTAAAATCGTCCACGAGTTTTTAACATTTGAGTCATATGTGATTTATGACTCTTGACTTGTGAGTGAGACCATATAGATTTGCTTATAGCCCATCTTTGTGATAGCAATATTGCACTATTCGTGTTTTGTATTTATATTTTTGCAGACACTTACTGAACGTTTATACAAGAAGCTCTATCTTATGTATGTTCTTTAAATCTTCATGAATCACTTGCGTGTAGAATACCAGTTGAGGTCAAAACAAAAAAAGGCAAAAATAAAAACTTTAAGGAACAGGCAGGTATCAAGACAGTAAAACAAAATCAGCAAGGAGCATATTCGCAAATGTAAAAAAGTTCCTATTGTCCAACACGTTTCAGACACTCTTTAAAATTAATTTAGCTCTATCACAAGCAAGTAGCCTTGCTGCTAAAGGGAATCTGCAAGTCGTAGGTCAACTCAGTGCTGGATGGGGGTAGAGAAAACTAAAGCAGGCCAGGCGAGTGAGACCCTTGTGTGTACAGCTGGGGCAAGTCTTCCAAGCCTGGTAAGAAGCTTTTGGGGCACATGGTGAAAGGGTATTTGTTGAGCCAAGCAACACCATACAAGCTTGCTGTTCACATCCCTGCTATGTAAGTTGTCTGCATCAGCTTCTGGTTTTCTTGAAAAGGTTTATTTGGCTATTGTTTTTGTACAAGCAAATCTTTTTTCAGTTTCCACACGTTTGCGGTTTCATATAGGCAAACTAGACAAACTAAAGTTTTTGCATACAAACCTGTTCATATTTGTTAATTTCTGATCACATGACTGCTCAGCTGTACGCTTGTTTCCAGAAAGGTCACGTCCTCCACTACCAGTGTAAGTAAATTCATTGCCATTATCCTAAGAAAAAAAATACAAGGCAATGGGCATTACTTTTATTTCTAATATTTGAGAATTTACCTACTATTGAATCACTCCATCCTATTTTCAACGTTTCAGATGCTTAATGTTTGTGACAATTGCATACCAAAAGAAAGGCTTGCAGTCTTTGAAAGCTAAATAACAAGCAAATCAAAATTTTTGAAACGACTCATGACCCATAAGGAGTGTATATATAACAAGTACATCCGCAGGTAGGTACAGATCTATAAGCTATGCTTGAGACTCACCAGCAAAGGCATATATTGAGACGTTGTAGGCATTATAATCATTTTATTTCAAAGAATTGGTTACAGTGCCGAGTCCCTTAATTCAATCTTAAACCATTTATAAACCGTTTTAACACAAAATAAAGGTGCCTGGTGACTCAGCTAGCCCTCACTGGAGGTATGGCTAAGACAGATATTCATCAATTCCCTCAAGCCATACCAAATCATCTCCGCAATGAGTGCTGTGATAGGATGAATTTGGTAAGCTGACTCAGCTAATCACAACAGCCCATTGCTATTAAGACTAATGCTTCCTCTTTAGGCCAATCAGTACAGAGGGGATAGGCTTCTGGGGATTCTTGTTTAGCATTAAACAATGCTGACTGGAAGCATAGTACACTATAACCACTTCAATACAATTACAGTACCTTCAGTGCCCTATTAAAAGATTACTTGAATCCTGAATCGAATCCTTTACCTATAAGAGAAACCGATAGCTGGACATGCCACAAAAAATGACCTTAAAAACTCGCCTTATGGACAGACAAAAATATGTCTTATTCAGAACCTGCTGCTTACTTGAGCATTACGGTTAAAGGGACCCCAAGTACCACAACTTTGGCTTAAGAGGTTTTGGTGTGTAGATCATGCCTCTGTAGTATCAATGCCCAATTCCACACAATTTAAGAGTTGAAACTGATATACAACCCTAGTCACCTCCCCCGTAGGACTCACCTAGCCTCCCTACACACCTTCCTATTGCACAGTGTATTAAGCTAGACTATCTTCTGCTGTTAAAATGACACTATAGGCACCCAGACCACTTCAGCTCTTTGACGTGGTCTTGGTACTGTGTCCCGATTGCACTTAGTGCTGCAATATAAAACATTGCAGTTTTAGAGAAAATGGGAAGACTGAGGTAGCTATAATGCCAGGAATACAGATTTGCATTCATTTCACCATAGTATCCCTTTAAGGTTAACGAATCTGTTTTAGTATATAGATCATGCCCCTGTAGCATCGAAGCTCAATTCCAGTATTTTTTATGTATGCTCTCTTCTGGTTGTGCCTCACAGCCAGTGAACAAAAATGGATTTTCAATCAAATCTTAAACTAGAATTTCTTTGCTCCTGCACTGTAAGTTGTACTTTAATCACACACCATGCTATTGCAAGCTCTAAACAGAGTAGATATAAAGTCAAAATTAAACAGAATGTGCAATAAAGCATGTTTCAATATTAGATCTTTCCTTACAGGAAATGTGTAGGGAGATCAGTCACATGTCTAAATGAAAGAAGTGAGCAGTGAGACTGCAAAGACAACCGTCTGCTAATTACAAAGACTTAATTTCCTAGTAGCAGAAATCCTTGTTCATTACTAGACAGCCTCCACATCTTCTGTCATACTGCAATTACCCACATTTACAATTTACACTCATAGTGTGAAAACTTGGAACCAGCCTACTAAATTTAAGCCAGCTTAAATGCGGTAGCAATGTGATTTTCTCTTAATGTTCATTTTGACTTTAGCATATACCCGTTACGAAGATTTGTGCTGATGATTTCTAAATAATTATCAGGCTCATGTTTTTGAACCCTTTATGCTTTCATCAGTACATTACATTCTTCAAACAGACATGTGAAATCTCAGGCACTACTAAAAAATTTCAAAATGTAATACTCCCTTACCACATCATCCTCATAACCGCCTGCCAATACCAGGGAGTACGAACCATCGTTGCTTCTTCCATGGATACCAGCTACATGTGGTCTGTGTACACCAGCCTCGCTAACCTAAAGACAAAAAAATGAAATGGTGAATACAGACTACAATAGGGAGAATTAGCAAGTGTCTCCCAGAGTTAGGCATTGGGCTACTGAAAGTGATATCAATATATTCGTGAAAGGCATTCGTGAAAACACTAAAATTTCGAGAGAAAAAAAAAAAAAGACCCCTTTATAATGCACTATAGGTAATTTTATTTTGGGGTTGTCAGTGTTTAGTCCCCAAATTTGGCCTCTTGCAGGGCTATTCACTAACGTGAAAGATCAAGGTAAATTTAAAGTAAAAAATGATTAACTAGAAAAATTGTCTAATTCAGCAATGCTTCCAGTTTGGCTACTCTGGCCTTAGGTTTGAAATGCACTTTGAATTCTCACTTTGATTAATAACCTTAATCACATATGCATAAGTGCTATGGAGAATTCACACTAGATCTTTAAAAATCTCACCTGCCAGGCAAAGACAACTTCTGAATTCACTCAAATGTTAAATTTTACATAGAATTATAAAATTAACTTAATGTGATGCCAATTTACCTGAACTCTGAATTTCCACATAGTACCAACAGGTACACCAGGAACTGGTCCATAATGATTGGAAGGAACAATTGTGCATTCTCGTGTTCGACCAACACACGCCATTCCCTAAACAATGCAGAAAACAAAAGTTTAAAACCCACAAAAAACTGTTTAAATTTTGGTTGTAAGCATTCTGTATTTATTACTCACTTTCCCCCAGTCTCTCTGAGAAGAAGAGCTAGCAGATGCCATTTTTGCTTTTTTCTTGCTTTCTTTCAATTTCTCTCCAGCCAGGACCACTTCACTAGCATCATTTCTGCAATCTGGACAGTACCTGTAAGAGGACTAACTCATTAAAGGAAAGGACATTTAAACTCAGCTTGAAACTGATCATGTCAAACTGACTTCTAATGATCAAAACTGGGGTTAAAATTCAAAAAAGCCACTAAGTTATATATTACTTGTGTGACATTGACCTTAACAGTAGTTGCAAACTTACCAGTCTTCATCTTGAGGTATGCTGGAAAGTGGAGGATTAAGGCAATATATGTGGAATGCCATGTCGCACTCATCGCACAGTAACTGTTTCCCAGGGTCCTGTTTGCCTCCACAAACATGGCATGCACACATACGACATGTTTTTTTTGGATCATCTTTACAGTCTTTACATTCTGGACCATTTTGCCCTGTAAAAGAAAATTTCCAGTAAGATCAACATTTAACAAGGCTACCTCTTATGTTGGAAATAGCGCTGCTGAAAAGAGACATGTTGGTTGAAACATTTATAGCGACTCAATTCTATACTACATTTTTGTTCCAGCATTCTAAAAAATAAAAAACTGATTCAGACCGAGAACAAAGAAAATTTAGGAAGTAAAAACACTTTCAAGTATAAACTATGCATTACAGGCAAGTAATTTGGCAAAGGATATTGAAGTCTCAACTCACTTTTTTGAGGACTCTCTGTAATACCAGCAGCTGCACAACCAGGTTCCTCAATCTTGTAAATCTCATCAACAAATACAATTTTGCAGTCATTCAACGAGTCACCTGCATCTCTAATAAACAGACAAAAGTTAAACTGAACCACTTCCACTGCTCCTAAAAAGGTAAGACTTTAAAATACAATTACCATAAGTAATTAAATTCAAGACTATACAGTAGTTCTTAGATATAAGCAACATAAAAACATGGCGGTACTCACCCCAACACCACCTTTGCATAGATTTCTTTGATTGTTCTCGTTTCTCGCTTTTTCTGAATCTCTGCATCATACCAGTAACCCCTTTCTTTGGGTTCATCTATATTATAATTCACCATCACAACCTGTCCTACGGCTAACTCCTTCCACTTGAGGATGGTTCGGGCTCGTGCTCTGACATCTTTTCCAGTAAGCTGGACAATACCATTTTCAGGGTAGCTAAAAAAGGAACAAAACAATTTATGAAACAGTTTAGTACAATCATTGTTGGCTTAAATCAGGGAGATGCAGAGGTGCCTGAGCCCCAACTTCAGAGTAAAACTGTTAAAGACCCTCAAATGTAGGATGGTGGGTGGGAGTTTTCCTTTACACTAATAAGTTATAGGTTATACATGACCACAGTAGTAGTAGTGGAGGAAATATTCACCTGTAAAGATCACTTGCACATACTAGTGAAACATCTAAAGGGGCTATTTAGCCACAGAGCTCAATTGCATTTGATGAGTTTTTGCTTTTATGCCATTTTTCACCACATTCAAAAAAAAAAAAAAAAAACCTTTAAAAGAAAACTGGATACAAGCATAGCATGAGGCCCAAACCTCACTCAAATCAAATACACTTAGCCCCCCTTAAGGACAGGGGCAATTGTGCAAGTTCTAATCAAAACAAAACTTAGAATTTGAAATATGTCCAACTAATTTACCTTTCATATTAAATGAAAACCCACATTTTGTTGATGAGAAACAGGGCTAAAAAGTTTGAATGTTAAGAAAAATAAATCAATACAAGGCCAAAACAGTTCAAATTCACAAGCTTTGTTGGTACATGGAGTACCCAGCTAACTAAAAACATTTGGCTTCTGATAATGGAATGTTGAATAGACTCAATATGAACTATTGTATAAAACTTTTTTTTTTTAAAAAACCCCGACTTAGTTCTATTCCAAAAGTGAATGTCCTACTCATTCAACTACTGCAGGACGTTAGTGAGCTATAAGACCAAAAAAGCAAAAATCCAGCATTAGCTTTTTTTTTTTTTTTTTTTAACAGACCAGACTGTGATGACTGCAAACTCATTTATCAAATTTCTGCCTTAGAATTTTAAAGGACAATAAGCAGTGACACTGCAGGGGTATGAAATGTACACCAGAAACAGTTTAAAGGAAAACATGGATGTATTCCTGACCCTACAATGTTAAAAACACCAACTAGCATAGGAATGTCACATTTTATATCTGTAAATGTGAGCTCTTACATTCACACCAATATTCTCAGCTTTTTAAACAGGTAAGCTACTCACTCCTCATATTTCACGTGGTAGATCACTTCATCCTCTGACGCTGAAGGCTGACCTTCAGACTCTGTCCCATTTTGCACAACTCTCTTTGTTTTGTTAACCACTTGAGCCTCAAACCACGCACCCATGTTCAGATCACGAGCATCCACAAGTTCATCTATCTGTAAAATAAATTGTCAGTTAGTAATAGTTTTGTGGCTTACAAATATTTCAAAAAGGTACAAGACTTTAACTTACCTTGTACAGGCCAATATCTACAGAAGCAGCAGGGGTAGGCTCTGTATCCATTGCAGTTTCTCCATTATTCGAATTTTTATCAGAATCACTATGGCCTGAACCACAGCCCGAATCTGTATCGGAGAGTTCACACTCTTTCTCCTTTGCAGGAACAGAAGCTGGAACCTGACGCACCAGTAACTGGACAATGTCATTAAGCCCAACATTATAATCAAACAGTGTGTGGCCATCTTCCATCTATAATAGAATAATGTTTCCTTTAGAAGTCAGCTAACAGTAAACTTTTTTTCTTTAAAGTTTAGTTTACATGGACATTTGAGTATACTTTAAAAAATAAATAAATAAGCATATAAAAATACATACGTAATAGTTTAAAAAACACTAGTCACCCGAACAACTACCGCTTATTGAATTTGTTCTGGCAAGTAGAATCATTACCTTCAGGCTTTTTGCTGTACACATTGTATTTTCAGAGAAAATGCAGTGTTTACATTACAGCCTAGTGATAACTTCGCTGGTCACTCCTCAGATGGCTGTTAGAGATCCTTCCTGGGTCATGGCTGCCTAAAATGCATCCAAACATTCAGTATCTCCTACTGCATGCAGACACTGAACTTTCCTCAGAGATTCATTGATTCATTTCATCTCTATGAGGAGATGCTGATTGGCCAGGGCTGTGTTTGAATCATGCTGGCTCTGCCCCTCATCTGCCTCTGTCAGTCTCAGCCAATCATATGGGGAAGCATTGTGATTGGATCAAGCCACCACTTCTGATGATGTTAGCCGACAGCTTGTTTTTCTGAGGCAAACAGCATGCAGATCTACAGCTTCAAGCTTGAATACATTAAGGATTATGCTATATTTATAGAAGCATGATGGGCCCAGAGGGGCTAGATGGTGGTTTTAACACTATAGGGTCAGGAATACATGTTTGTGTTCCTGACCCTATAGTGATCCTTTAAAGGACTACTATAGCCACCCAGACCCCTTCAGCTCAATGAAATGGTCTGGGTGCCAGGTCCCCCTAGTTTTAACCCTGTAGCTGAAAACATAGCAGTTTCACAGAAACTGCTGTTTACACTGAAGGGTTAATCCAGCCTCTAGTGGCTGTCACGGAGACAGCCACTAAAGGCCTCTTCCGCTATTCTCAGTGTGAGAAAAAAAAGAAATCACATTTAACGCCCATAGTAAAGCATTGAGTAATTCGCATTCGGCTCTGCCAGGGAGCCAACGTCGGCAGGGGGAAGAGAGGCCACCAGCGCTGGATTAAGATAAATGGCTGAAAGGGGTTCGGCCCAGCGGGAGGGAGTAGGGGACCTAATAACCCTATAGTGACAGGAACACTTTTGCTGGCACTATAGGATCCCTTTAATAAAGCAGTTTTGATGTATAGATCATGCCCCTGCAGTCTCACTGCTCAATTCTCTGTCGTTCAGGAGTTAAATCACTGTTTATGCAGCCCTTGGCACACCTCCCAGCATGTGATTTACACAACCTTCCTAAACACTTCCTGCAAAGAGACAGCTAATGTTTACACTTCCTTCATGCCAAATTCTGTTCAATTTAGAATTGTTTATCTCCTACTCTGTTTATAGCTTGCTAGACCCTTCGGCAGCCTCATGTGTGATTAAAGTTCAGTTTACAGAGCAGGAGATATAAACTTAAAATAAGTTATATCTGATTGACACAGCCAGAAAGAAAACAAATTAGTTTCATTTTCAGTCACAGCCAGGGGAGGTGTGGCTAGGGCTACATATACAGAACCAAAGGTGATTAAACCCCTAAATGGCGGAGAATTGAGCAATGAGATTTCAGATGCATGACCAATAGACAAAAACTGCTTCATTAAAGGGATCCTATTGTGCCAGGAAAACAAACCCTTTTTCCTGGCACTTTAGGCTCTTGGAGTGTTCCCTTCCCTCTACACTGAAGGGATTTAAAACCCTTCAGCCACTTACCTTAATCTAGCACTGGTGGCCTCTCCTCCCCTGCCGTCAGTTCCCGAGTGGAGCCAAATGCACAGCCAGAGGTGCGCGCACATTCAAACCAGCCCATAGGAAAGCATTACTCAATGCTTCCCTATGGGGATCTTAATTGACGCTGGACTCCGTTAGAACGTCCAGCGTCAAATAACTGCAATTTACTAGTGTAAATCGCAGAAGCGGCCTCTAGTGGCTGTCAGAGAGACAGCCACTAGAGGCTGTATTATCCCTGCAGTGTAAACATAGTTTCAGATGTAGGGTTAAATCTAGGGGGGCCTGGCACCCAATCACTTAAGCTGAAGTGGTCTGGGTGACTATAGTGGTCCTTTAAGCTCAAATTATTTGGTGACTAGTGTCCCTTTAAGGACCAGAGTCCGTCTATGTAGTCAAACTGTCCTTTAAGGATCATATTCCAAAATTGTAATGCGCTGCCAAAACGCAAAGACAGAGCAGCCTTTGACCCATAAGTGCTTAAAACTGATATCAATTTTTTAATAGAAGTGTCATAGCAGATAAGAGGAAGAGATTTATTATTTCAGTGGTTATGAAATACATTTCAAATGTTCGTTTTCTTTTTTCGAAGAACGTTAACAAGTACATTTTGTACTATGGAGTGTTTTTGTAAGCAAAGCTCCATTTCAGCTGCTAAGCTAATTCTCACATTTAGTCAAAACAGAGGGTTTTGGGGTAATTCACAAATAAGTTTTCTAGAAGGGAAAACTGGAGACAGATGAGAACAAAATGGCAGTCCCAAGATAATGAGATTAACAAAAGTACAATATAAATTTTAAAAAATGCAACTTTAAAAAGAAAAGCTGCTAAACTGAATCTCACCAAGACATGATATTCATTGCCCACTGCCTGAGCCATGGCTAAATAAATGCCACCGACTACTATCAGTTATGTCTTATATGGCAACAAATACTCTAGTACCAGTTACTATATAGTAAGACTGATCAATCACACTTGGGACTGGTCCAGCTACCTCCGATACTTACACGGGCAATACACAAACTAGACATCCCTAAACTCCCACAGCAGGCACCATGATCTGCCTTTGGTCTCGGTCACTGCTATGCCCTTAAGGGAGCCCTACCCAGATCTTGCACAAAGGGAAGCACCAAAAACCTAAACAAAACTGTACAGACCAATCGCGACTGTCACCTGCCAAAAACGACTGCACATTTTTTTGACCTTGTCAGGCAGAAATGTTAACGTTTTCTCTTTGTTCCTCAAAATGTATCAAAACTCTAAAGAATTAAAAAAAAGCCAGCAGAAACGGTCACTACACCATAACTTTTATGAATCTCATTTGGACAGTCACTAGAGGAACTTCCTGGACAAGGGCCTGCAAAGAATGCAGGATGTATGTTCAGCGTCTCCATGAACACCTAATAATCCCATAGCGATTTACTGACAAAACATCTGAGGTGTTCTGTCCCTGCCAAAACGAGCATGCCAGCGGTTGCAAGGTATGTAAAAATGCTTTTATATTAGCATAACAATAACACTATCAGAATAGGTTTGTATTCCTAACGTTCTACAGGCCCTTTTTACAACTCTAGTCAGAAATACATGCAAGATTCCAACAGATGCACAGCACCACAAGCAGTGCGCAACCTCCCCCCAAAAAGTACATACACCCTGCATTCCAGCAGAATAGGTTAGGGAGCATAATTTACTGGAAAAGTCAAAGGCACAACCAAGTTGCAGCAAGTGATTATCTTGCCACTGAATTAGAGGTAAATTAAAGGAGTTTGTGTGTGCTGGCACTGCATAGCATCTCTGCTAAAATGTGAGTAAGCCATTTTGCACTTATTTAGGACTCCAGGCACCATAACAAACGCAATCAATTTAAGTGGTTTTGGTGTCTACTTCTTTAGGGGGTCACACAAAAGATAGCATTTCACATTCATCAGCAGCATTATTAAATTTACTAAAGTTAGATTATTCCTTTAAAGCGGGCTGAGGGTGAATGCAAGGGCTTAGTGTTAGCCTCTGTTCGCCTTTGGAGGAACTATATAAATTTACCAAACAATTCCAGTCATTGCATGCGCAAAATCAACCACACCCAGAAACAAGACTGAAGCAAGTCACTGAAACTTGCTATCGGCATTCGGTCTTGATCAGATTGGGACAAAATGGCCGTTATTTAGCTGCAAAGGTATAACATTTAAAGCTCATGTAAACAGCTGGGAATTTACCATTACATAATCTGTGCTATATCAGGACAAACTCAGCTGGAGCAGAACCTAATGTAGAGTTCTAACTAACTGTACATGATTGGCAGAGTTCGAAATTCACCTCTGGTGAGTGTACCATGGACCTTCCATGCATGGAACTTTGGGTAACAAACCCTGGCTAGTAGTATTACCTTTTTATCAGTTAAGATGGGGTCATGCAATGCTGATTTTATATGTAACCTAGAGGATCTGACTGCTCACAACCACAAATACTACAAAGCCTTTCCAGCCTAAGGAGTCCGCTCATCTGACCTTCAGAAACTCCAAGCTTTTATGTCTTTATGTTTGTATATTTGTAAAGTGCTTTAAGTCTCACAGGGTGAAAGGCGCTATAAAAATGGCAAATTATCATTATTGCCATTTATACAATGCCAACAGAGTCGGTAGCGCTTTACAATATTATAAGAAAAAGGGGATTTAATCATAAACAGGACATTTACAAAAAAAAACTTACAGGAACGATAGGTTGAATAGGACCCTGCTCAAAAGAGCTTACAGTCTATGGGAGATGGGGGGTATAAAACACAACAGTTGTAGTTTTAAACAGCAGGCGACCTAATCTACTGGCAGCATTCCTGAAATCCTGGCTAGTAGTATTACTTTGTGTGAGTCATCAGGATGGGCCCGGGCAATGCTGCTTTTACAACTAACCTAGAGGATCTGGCCGCTAACAACCACAACTACTTCAGAGCTGGACGAGATGTAGTTTATTTAAAGAGCCGAACCTACCCCTGGCATTCATTGAATGCTGTGTGGGGGATTACAGATTATATATATCCATACTACTCAGATAGTCCTGGGTTAATATCCCAGTAAGGTTGAGCTGCTGGATGAGATTAATGGGCGTGGGATTTAATCACAGCACACGGTCGGTGATCACCTGTTTCCCTCGGTAAAACAGCCGCTGTTTCTCCATGTCCACCCCGAACACCTCGTGGATCTTCTGCCGCAGCTCCTCCAGCTTGGTCAGTTTGGAGAGGGAGTCGATGCGGTGGGTCTCCCGCCCGTCCATAGTCCGCACCTGGATCCACATCTCGGGAGTAACAAGGACACGGACCGTCAAACTAACGTAACCTCGGCTGAAAGTAAACTCTGTGTATGTCGGCTCGGTACAGGCGCCGTGCGGTCCGGTCACTCGGTATGGCTCACACACGGGCTGTTTCCCCGGTAACAAACTGCTGAGTGGGAGCTCGAGCTAGCCGTGTTCGCGCGGTTTATAGTTTGGCGGGAGTCTGAGCGAGCGCTGCCCGACGCGGATTGGAGGCAGTTGGCGCTCAAACGCGGTGTGGGCGGAGTTACGGCAGGAGGGCGGTCCGTGTGAGACTGGGCTCCCTTCGCCATTCCTATCACTGTGTTATTATTATTATCACTGTGTTATTATTATCACTACTGTGTTATTATCACTGTATCACTGTGTTTGGGACTTGGGAAGTGTGTGCTTCCTTCCTCCCAGGGTTATTCACTAAAGTGGGATATTTAATGGGAATTTAAAGTGAATCACTTTTACCCACCCCCCAGGTTTAGTCAGTAAAGTGAAAATTGTGAGCAATTCAAAGTGGAGTTTTAATTTAAAGGAACACTCTCAAGTACCATAACACCTACAGAGAACTGTAGTGTTTATGATGCTGGTAGTGGCCACCCCACTACCACCACCATAATAAGTAATAAAACCATTTTAGAACAGTTTGAATTTTTACCTCGGTAACTGGGCGCAATTCCACGCCTACACTACATCAATAAGAGTGCCGGAAGCCCTATGTCTGAGATAAGCCTGGATGTGACTCTCACAGACAGGGAGCTAAGTGCTGCGGAAAACGTAAAGGGATTCTCCAGTGCCAGGAAAACATATTAGTTTACCTGGGACTGCAGGACCCTGGAATGCCCGTCTCCCTCCCACCCCACCCCCCATCCCAAGTTGCCTTCAGTGGCTTACCGGAGTCCAGCGCCGATGTCCCTCGGTGCTGGTCAGGCTCCGCCTACTCTTCTCCTCCGCCAACGTCAGCCAGCGGAGGAGACCTAATGCTCATTGCCGCACACACGCATTAGCCTTCCCCATAGGAAAGCATTATTCAGTGCTTTCCTATGGGGATTTCGGCAACACTGGAGGTCCTCACATAGAGGAGGATTAACCCTGTAAGATAAATATTGCAGTTTATGAAAACTGCAATAATTACACTTGCAGGGTTAAGGGTAGTGGGAGTTGGCACCCAGACCACTCCAATGGGCAGAAGTGGTCAGGGTTCCTGGAGTATACCTTTAACAGAAACTCCTAAACAGAAGCTTTCAGCTTTTTGACTAATTTAGGGAGGTAGGGAAGCAGCGTCCTGTGCACCCATGGTAAGAAGTCAAACTGTTTGGAAAATGTTTGGCTAGTTACAATAGCTACAGTGGTTATAGTGCTTGGAGTATCCCTTAATGGCTAGAGTGGCAAGCTGGAAGCATACATCATTGAAAACAAAAATCTAATTTCAGCTGTTATGGCCTTCCATTTGAAATTCACTTTCTGACAATTCTCACTTTAGTGAGTAACCCTGACAGTTAGATCTGCAGTTTAGCTATTTGTGTCTAAAATAAACTAAAATTGCAAACGTGACATCATACAATACATCTTTGTACATAGCCTCCATATTTAAATTTAACTGTACCTATTCACAACCATCACCCTAAACCTTTTTAAGAACCTAGCATCGACCCCGACTGCTTATCTGCCCTTTAATCCCTTTATGACTTTAGTACATGCCATTATTTCCTAACTATACTGGGCCGTTCCGACATAGTGAATCATCCTAACCTTTTGGTGTAAACTGGGTTAAATCCCTACTCACACCAGGAAACCCAGATTTTAATTGATACCATTTGTAGTGGCCCCAGATGACAAATGAACTGTACAGAGACATTTAAATCCCCATTGACTGCAATTAACTGCAAATTATGCTCATTAGATTGAGCATACAATTTAATCTATACATTGTGCTAGCAGGTTTTCTAGCAAATGTATAGATTAGGAGAAAAACATATATAAAAATAGTTTTTTCTCCCAGGTGTCGGCTCGGCGTGCCAAGGCATTGGCTGACAAGGGAGAGCACAGGAAGAAAATAATAACACATACTAAAATTGTATCAAAACTAAGGAGAACAAGAGTAATCTGTTCCCAGACCCCTCTATCCATGATCGGAATTTTTTTAATATAAAATGTATAAATACAGGGCCGATCCTGGGGTCACTGATGCCTGGGTGCAAGAATATTTTTGGTACCCCCCCCCCCGGTGGGTGTGGCTTCCCTTTACAAACATAACACTTCTAACCACACCCAATTTTTATGGAAACCACATACCCTCAACCCAGGTCATATGCAGGGCCGGACTGGGAATTAAAAGCAGCCCTGGAAAAAAAAATATTTACCAGCCACATAATGCGTCGCACCAGCATAGTGTGCAGATACAGAGTTAGAACAGATAACTTAAAATTAAAAATTACTCCAACGTAAAAAGCGTACTCATAGGCTTCAAAATAAACAAAAGTGCAGATTTATTTTAAGAAGATGTGCCTTTGCATGTAATCAATGTTTCAGTCCAACTACCTTGACATATTAAGGAAAGCTTGTTAATGGGACTGAAATGGTGGATGTACGTAGGGCATAACTGTAAAAAATTGTTATTTTGAAGTCCTGTCGGTGTGCTCTTCACATTAAATATCTTATTGTGCTGGAGTATGCACCTAGCAACAAGACTGGGCCAATATCTGCTCATTACATATGGTACATATTAATGACATTTCTCTGTGTATTATGCATATAAATGTACATTAATATATGTGTAAATATAATAGGCATAATTATATATATTATATATATATAAATATATATATATATATATATATATATATATATATATATAATACACACATTAATATACATGTCATATACCAATGGCGGATCCAGAGCCTGATCCCGGGAGGGGCACTTGTAGATTATTTAACCCCTTAAGGACACATGACATGTGTGACATGTCATGATTCCCTTTTATTCTAGAAGTTTGGTCCTTAAGGGGTTAAAGAAATATTCCATGCACTCCTCTGTGTAGTGGTTATGGTGCCAGGAGTGCCGGGACCCCCTCCTAGAGTAAGTAGTCAAACTGTTTAAGAACCGTTTGACAACTTACCAGGAGTCTGCTGGGATATGGTGCTGTAGTAGGGTATAGGAGTGGTGGTGCAATGTGTGAGGGGTGCAATGTGTGTGAAAGGTTCAGTGTGTGGGGGGGTGTAGTGTGTGAATGTGTAGCGTGTCTGGGGCAATGTGTGTATGGGGGGGCAGTGTGTGAATGTGTATGGTGTGTGTGGGGGCAGTGTGTGAATGTGTATGGTGTGTGTGGGGGGGCATTGTGTGTATGGGGCTAGAGTTCACTCTCACTACTGCGACCACCAGGAATCCCTGGTGGTCGCAGTGGTGAGAGTGAACTCTAGCCCGTAGCTCCAGGGCTACAGTTCACCCTTATGAGAGCCGGAGCGTTGCCGGGGTAACTGTGGCAACGCTCTGTGCTCGCGCGAGAAGGACCCAGGGGAGCTGCTAGAGCCGGCTGCCCGCACAGTGCCTGCGGAACGGGGACGAAGATCGGCCGGCAGGGGAAAGCCTCGTGGGGGGGGAATTGCCCCGTTGCGCCCCCCATCCACCAGTGATATATACAGCCCCTATGTGTGTCTCACCCTCCTCCACATCTCTTTTCCCCTCTGTCTCTTTCTCCCCCCTTTCCCTGTGTCTCTCCCTCCTCCACATCTCTTTTCCCCTCTGTCTCTTCATCCCCCCTTTCCCTGTGTCTCTCCCTCCTCCACATCTCTTTTCCCCTCTGTCTCTTTCTCCCCCCCATTTCCCTGTGTCTCTCCCTCCACCATCTCTCAATTCCTCCTCTCTATTTTATCCTCCCCCCCATTTACCTAGAGAGGTCAGGGGGGCCGGCCACGTTCCAGGCTGGAGCCGCCGGGCCGGGTGGCAGCTTCGCCGGTCCGGCGGCACTTTTGTCACTGATGATGCTGAGGGCTGAAGGAGGAGGAGCATGTCTATCTACCATGCTCCCTCGTGGTTCCTGTGCTGGGGATTGTGGGAACCGCGAGGGAACGTGGTAGATAGACATGCTTCTCCTCCTTCAGCCCTCAGCATCTTCAAAGACAGAAGTGCGGCTCCAGCCAGGAACGCGGCCGGCCCCCTCTAAGAGTGCCACCGGACCGGCCACCCGGTGGCACCTTTATGCGCAGCGCAGCCCCGAGGTGCCGCGGCCCACTGGGAAATTTCCCGGTATCCCGGTGGGCCTGTCCGGCCCTGGTCATATGTCACCTACTTCCTACAGTGTTAGCCATTCCCCTAAAAAGCTTATTAGTGCCATATTTGTACCCAGCTTCCCAGTGCCGCCTCTGTCCACATACAGCTTCCCAGTGCCATCTTTGTCTCAAAATAGCTAACCAGTGCCATCTTAGTCTCAAAATATTTTTGTCCCCATCTTTTCAGTGCCACTTTTGTGTCCAAATAGCCATTTTTGTGCCCAAATCGCTGACCAGTGTCAGTGTTGTCTCAAAATTACTAATCAGTGACATTTCTTTTTCAAAACAGCTTACCAGTGCCATCTTGTCAGCTGGTAGTGTTTTTGTATGAACTGGGTGTAAACTGGGTGTATTTTGCAGAGTCAATGTATTTGTAATACAGAAATGTATTTACAGATGTATGTGAATTCAAATATATATTTGTGTATAATATTAATGTGTCCAGATGCAGTTATTGAATATTTGTATGGAATGTATTCGTAAATGCAAGAATCTATTTGTAAGACGTGTGTGTGTGTTTATGTTTGTTTGTATGAGTGTCCTTCACTGGACGTTACTGTGTGTGCATGCATTGTTGTTTTAAGCAGTATGTTTGTTTGTTTTTCTGAATGTCCCTGTGTGACTTATCTCACCATTCTCTTCCACTTTTGGCTCTATCCCATCCCCAGTGGCATTGCTCTGTGGGCTAGGGACTCCAGCCCAAAAAATACATTTGATAACCCCTCATATAGGTGACATTAAGCTTGCCCAATAATCCACCTCAGCTGCACCATAAAAAATATGAAATGCTGCCCACCCCCCTCCCCTCAGCCCCTCTTTGTGTCTCTTTAGCCACCTCCCCTCCTGTGTCCTCTTTAGCCCCTATGCCCTCCTGTCTGCTTATGTTACCCCCCCTTCTGTGCCCTCTTTAGCCGCTTTCCCCTCCGGTCCCTTTATGTAGCCCCCCTCCCTCCTGTACACTCT